GAGCCTGAGGCTGACTGTCACTGGGTCAGCCCCACACTTGCCTCTGCCTGAGGTTGTCTCGGTGACATCATGGACGCAATGAGTCTGAAATACAACTCCTTCGAGGTGACAGTAACACCTGCTGCAGGCTATTTGCTGAACAGGCTCTGTGAGCCCTCTCCTATCACTGGGATTTGCTCCACACTGTCACTGGTGATGCAAGATGTCACTGTGCCAACTTAAGAACACAGTGGTTGGGGCTGGGAAGTGGCTCAGTGGATAAAGCACGTATGTAAGCATCACAAGTCTGGGTCCCCAGCACCCACATACATTCTGGATGGGTATGGCAGCCCTCCTGAAATGGGAGGTTCCCAAGGACAAGCTGACTGGTTAGACTAGCAAATCAGTAGCTCTGAGTCCAATAATAGGCCCTGATCTAGTGAATAAAGCAGAGAGCAATCCAGGAGGATATCTAGTGTCAGCCTCTGACCTCTACATGACCGCACACACATGCGTGCACACCCACACAGATGAGAATACACACACACAAACACACACAAGCTTGCACAGAAAGAACATAACTGTTAACAGGCCAGCAGAAACATGGGGCATTTCCTCAGGGCTCACTGGGAAAAGCGAGACGGGTAGTCTAATGTTGGAAGACAAGGCCAATGTCAGGAGCCACTGTGACCAGCATCCCAAAGGGCTAGACTTGAATACCAACCAGAATTGGGCCCCTGAGACCTCTGACATGGAATGGCTGCTCCCCCTTGTTCCTAGGCCACTACAGCACAGGGGATTAAGGACCAGCTGGGCAGAGAGGCCAAGGCCGTGGCCTGGTGAGGTTCACCCTGAGCTAAGGGAGTTAAATGTATCCAGGCTTCTGCTGTTCTTCCATGGCATGTGGTGGGGCTGGTGGGCAAAAGCAGAAGCCATGCCTGTCACTGCTGACTGTCCCCCATCATCTCTACCAACACAAGATGTTCAGGGGACACTAAGAGACCTGGGATGGTTACCTGCTGGGTGGATGCAGAGTTACCACTGTGCTTTGACCCCAGCTCTAAGGGAGAACTTGGGAGAAGGGCAAGGCTGGAGGCACTGAGGGTCCCGATTTGCTCGATCTACCTTTGGTCAGATGCCCCAAACCCTTCCTCCTTCCAGCTGCTGGCAGATAACCTTTGGGGACAGCGCACTGCACAGGTCTGGGTTCTCTGAACAAGACCTTTCTCCTGGCTTCAGTCTCTTCAACTTTGATGAAGATGAATGAACTACTTCCTCCCTCAGCCTCTAGTGTGGAAGTCACTCTCCCTCAATTCATACTTTAATAATTAGCACCGGGAACAGGACAGGCTCTGCCTTCTGCTGGTGTTTTCTACTCTTCTCAACCATCACAGGAAAAGGCGCACTTTTATCACGCTGTTTTCAGTGGGGAAACCAGAACACATCTGAGGTCTCAGGTGGAAATCAGCACAGCGCATTTCTACAAACAGCTCCTCCATCCAGTTGCTCTTTTTCTCCAGCATCTAGCCAGATTACAGTGCTTGAGGGTCTAACCAAGCCTGACAACTGAGTTCAGTCCCTAGGACTTCTACATGGTGTAGAGAACCAACTCTTGTGAGTTGTGGACTTCCACACATGCATGGTGGCATGGGCCTAGAGACACAATCACAGCCAAAAATAAACAAATGCAATAAAAGCATATTATTATAGTAATAGTGAAAGTCGTGCCAGGCAGGTATGAGAAGCCAAGCACTTGAGAAGTCTGGCACGGCAGAGACGAGAGGTACAAAGAGCCATCAGCCAGGCTGCCGGGCCATCCTACTCACGAGCCTGTGCGCACCGTGGGTGTTCTCAAAGCTGGCAGGCAGCCCTGTAACATGACGGCCGGCTTGTTGGGGTTTCTGTCCTGCCCAGTACCCCACAACCAGCAAATCCCAAAGAAAATCTCATGGAGTCTACATTAGGTTATAAACTGACTGGCCCATTAGGTCAGGCTTCTTATTAGCCCTTGTAACTTGTATTAACCCATTATTCTGATCTATGTTAACCATACGACTTGGTACCTTTTCCAGCTGTCAGCTTCACATGCTGCCTCTTCGGTGGTCTGAGCAGGAATCTGAGGGAGCTTCTGCTTCTAGAATACTCCCAGTCTCTTTGCTCCACCCCTACTTCCTGTCTGGCTTTTCCGCCTATACTGCCTGCCTGGCCAATCGGCATTTTATTAAAATATGATTGACAGAATACAGACAATTTTCCCACACCACAGCCCTTCATGCCTAACTCCCCCATTGACCAGGTAACTTCCAGAGGGAAAGGGTGTTCAGGCACTGGCAGCAGTGGGAACTCAGTGGGCCTTTGGGGAACCATCACTCAACTTTCTTGTATGCAAACATTTTACCATCTTAGACATGAGTGCATGTGGGTTTTGGTATCTGAAGGTCGTCTTCAAGTTCCAAAGGATGAGTGTGAATCAAAACTTGAAAGTTTCTGTAAAACAAAAGATATCCATGGCAGGCTGCATAGCCCAAAGATTTCAACATTAGAGTCCCCAAAACCTGTGAATGCATCTTTATAGAAGAACATAGTGGACGTGACCAAGAGGCAAGATTATCCTGGGATTAATGTATCACAAGGGTCCTTCTAAGAAGGAGACAAGAAGGCAAAAAAAAAAAGGGGGGTGATGAACGAGAAAACAGAAGCAGGGGAGAAAAGGTATCGGTGCAGTGCACCATGAGCCCGAGGACGACAGCACCGAAGACTCAGTGGGTAAATAAAGGTGTTGTCGCCAAACCCACAACAGCATTCCTAAGTAAAACGAACAAAACCATAAGCAACAGAAATGAAAAGGCATGTGCCATGTATTCAAATAAGAGTATTCTAAATATGAAGTGCTTTCTAATCTAGTAATTTTAATAAACACATTGCTATGTGCCAGGCACTGATACCAATTTACCTGGTCCTCATAACTCTAAGTAAATATTAATACCATTCTGCATCTGAAAAAACTGAGGCACTTAAGTTCAGCTAACTTTATACTCAACAGATAATGTTAAATTTTGCAGCTCGAATGGACGTTAACTCAAGTCTCCCAGAACAGAGCTGGGGTGGGAAATGTGAGTCTCGCTGGCAGCCACTGGTGAAGGGGCAAGTGTGGGAGCAGGCCTGATGCCTAGGGACAGAGGGAAGACGACCAGAGCTCCAAACAGCACTGCAGGCAGGGCCCCTGGGGACCAGCTATCAGGCTGGGGGACACTGCAGGGAGTCAGGGTGCTCAGCCACCGGCTGTCAGCTGCGGGTGGCAGTCACAGGAACACCTTGCTGAGACTGAGGTGTAACTGGTCATCAAACAGAAGATATTTTAAAATGTACAATTTGGGGGTGGGTTATCTTATTTTTAATAATGTGTTTGTATTTTATGTGCATTGGTATTTTGCCTACATGTGTATCTGTGTGAGGGTGTTGGATCCCCTGGAACAGGAGTTACAGACAGTTGTTAGTCATCATGCAGGTGCTGGGAATTGAACCAGGGTCCTCTAGAAGAACCACCCCTCCAGCTCCATATGTTTATTTTTAAATAGGGGCTAAGTAGTCAAGGTTGACCTTGAACTCTCAATCCTCCTGCTCTAGTTTCCTCAGTCTCATTTTATTTTTATTATTTTTTAAATTATCTAACATGTCTAGATATTCCTGCATTGCTTGAGTTCCTGCCCTGTATTCTGATCAAGTATGTCACAAAACAGACTGCTAAACTAGATTCACACAGTTAATTCTATCTAGCATCCAGAAATGCTGATGAAGTATACACTCAGGGCACAACACAACACCATTCAGAAGATATGACCACTGGAGTTTTGTTATGGGCTATAAGAATTATTATGCAAGCTATTGCTAGAGTCATAAAGAGCAAAAGATGTGAATGAGAAAAAGGTCATGTTCCCTTTCTCTCCACTAAGTCTGGGGAGAAAACTAAAAGCCAAAAACCTCAAAACTAAAAAAAAAGTAGTATTTTATTGTACTTTCCCAAATCCAGAAAACAATTTTACCATCAGCAAATAGCTTAGAGACACATGCAATAAAATGATTAAAAAAAAATAAGCCAGGCGATGATGGTGCACACCTTTAATCCCAGCACTCGGGAGGCAGAGGTAGGCAGATCTCTTGGATCCCTGTGAGTTTGAGACCAGTCTGGTCTACAGAGCTAGTTCCAGGACAGGAACCAAAGCTACAGAGAAGCCCTGTCTTGAAAAGAAAAAAAAAAAAGATAAAAATATCCAATAAAAACATTCACTTTCAGTACCTTACTTCAGATTAAATGAATACTGTACTCCCTAATCAAGAAGTCCATACAAACCAGGTGTGGTGGCCTTTAGTCCCAGCTCTTGGGAAGCGAGGCAAGTGGATCTCTGTGAGTTCCAGGACAACCAGGGCTAGTGAGCTAGTGAGACCCTAGCTAAACAAAGAAGGAAAGGAAAAGAAACCTACACAAGAAATTCAAAACTTCAACAAAAACAGTATATTTTATATATGTTTTATTTACTGACCTCTAGAACAGACTAAAATTCTCATAACTAACAAAAATTTCAAGTTAAAATGTTACTCAACATGACAAACTTTTACAAAAAATACGTTAGTGCAGCACCTTCGCTCGAGCAGGTAACATGGGACGTTATATTTAGGTGGCAAAATCAGATTACAAATACAAGATAAATATGAAACAGTAGACTCCTGGCTTATTAGAAACCCAACAGTTCTGAGAGGCATGCTATGCTCCATACTTTAGTTCATCGGAATAACCCTTAACCCCTCTGAGACGATGGGCGGGAATCACATCATGGACAGCTCTGCAGAGGTTGCAGCCCATCAGAGACCATCACTCCACTTGTGCACTCAGATAACTGTAAAGCCAATCTCACAGGCACTCACCGCTCAGCAAGCTGCTGCCATAAATCCCTTCTATTCAAACACAGTGTGAACCCAGTAAGAGAGGAAAGGCAGACTCGCGCTTCATAAACCAGACCGTGTGCACTGCAGAGCAGCAACCCCAGCTGCCAAGTTTATTATAAACAGCATAAATGTTATGCTCCAAAAGAAACATGCCAACACAGCAAAAGGTTACATTTTATTTCCTCTTAAACACATCTAGAAAGAACTTTTGTTGTTAATTCATCAACAAATTACTGATATGAATTTACCAGAAAAATAATTATATATTTGCCCAACATCAAATGATCTGCAAAAGCTGCTAAGGTATTTCTTACTCAGTTTCCAAAAATAAAGGCTTCTAACTGAGAGTCCTGACATTCCCACTCTTAAAGCAAACCTTAGAACACAAGCTGGTCTCTCAGTTCTCAACAGCTCAGTTACATAAATATTTTCTTCCCAACACTTTCTCAGTTTCAAAAGCTATTTACTTCCCAAGAACATACAAACAGTCTTCTTTTCAAACCATTCATTCTGTTTCCATGGCAACACTGCGGGATTCCTTGGCCACCATAAGTCGCATTAGTTGACTGTGGAATTTCTCAATCTTCTTTACATCTTGAGCTTGGTCTGTTCTATACACCAAACACTGTCAGAAAATTTAAAGACACAAACTAAGCAAAGCTATATACTAGTAATTAGGGAAGCAGGTAAGTGGTCAAATATCTGGGAGTCTTATCTGCCCTTATTTTGCTCTATTCTCTCTGGAGTCATACTGAACATCCAACAATTGCTTTCCCTCTGTTATTTTATTATATTTATTGGTTTTTCAAGAAAGGGTTTCTTTGAAGCCTGTCCTGGAACTAGTTCTTGAAGAACAGACTGGCCTCGAACTCACAGAGATCCGCCTGCCTCTGCCTCCTGAGTGCTGGAATTAAAGGCGTATGCCACCAGGCTCCCTTCATTATTTTAAATGTCACTGCTGCTGATGAAATGTAAAGAAACTCCTAGAAACATCTCAAAAATGACAAGTTAAATCCTGCTGTCTGTAAGTTCCAGTGGTTCCAGCTCCCCTCTTCTGGCCTCCTAAGGTACCAGGCATGAACACAGGCATACACGCAGCAAAACACCCACACACTTAGAATAAATTAATAAAGTTGAAAATCACTCTTAGCAATCTTATCCAATGCAGAAAAAACTTCAGAGAGGACCTGAGGGTGGCAGGTAAAGGACTTTTTTTTTTTTTTTTAAGAGAGTTAACAATCAGTTTGTACTTTTAAAAGTCATTCTGGCAGGGCTGGAGATATACTCAGTAGTAGTGCATATGTAGTATGTAGGTGGCCCTTGAAAAATGGGAGGGAAGTTATGTGTGTGTGTGTGTATACATGTGTGTATGGAAGATCACTGGCAGTGCACAGGATGAACTAAAAGCACAGATACCATTGAGAGATAATCCTAAATAAACCAGGCAAGTAGTATGGTACTAATCTGAAGGGAGCATCAGTGAAGACAGACAGCTGGGGAAAACAGGAAGAAGCGGAAAGCCTTGAGTCAGCAAAGTGCAGATGCCTAGCCAAGTGCAGGAACAGCATGTTCAGGGATCCAAATGCAACTTCTTCAAATAAACCAACAGTAGGCATAACAATAAAAGAAAGGAAGGGACCAAATACTATGCCCAGGTTTCTGGCCAGGTGGTTGACAGCATTCCTAGCCACAGATGAGAAGGAGCCAGATGAAGAGCTGAGAAACTCCATGTTGGAAGGCTAACTTGGAAGGGTGAATGAAGTAATGTTACTTGACTTCAGAGTTAATCAGATCCTCAAAAGAAAAATAGGAGTCAAATACACAAATCTGTAAGCAGACACAAATACAGAAAGTACTAGACTGTAGGAATTGAATGTACTATTCTGAAGAAGTGATACAAAAAGATAACCAAGGCGAGAATACTGGTAAAACACAGTATTTACGGAGAAACATCTAATAATTAGCAAAGACAGGAGCAGAGAGAAGCAAGGCCAACATAAAGTAAAGCTACAAGGGCTAAAACTTCCCATAGAGAATGGTCTTCATACTGCAAGTGGCAGAGATCAAATAAACATGAACTAATGAGAGCACTGGGCTAGATCTCATCACAGCACGGTGGCGCTCATATCAGAGGCAGACTGGTGGAGGGCACAAGAGGGACAGCCACAGAGGGTGGGAAGAAGGAATGGAGAAACAGGAACAAGCCCCTGCTGTGGCTTTAAATACATCATTTATGGAATCAGGCATGGTGGCACATGCCTTTGATCCTGGCATTCTGTGGAGTTCAAGGCCAGCCTGGTCTACATAGCAAGTTCTAGGACAGCCAGAGCTACATAGAAAGAACCTGTCTCTAAACAAGACAAAACGACAGCCTACAGAATGGGAAAAGACCTTCACTAACCCCATATCAGACAGAGGTCTGATCTCCAAAATATACAAACAACTCAAGAAATTGGACACCAAAAGAACACATAATCCAATTAAAAAAATGGAGTAGACCTAAACAGAGAACTCTCAACAGAGGAATCTAAAATGGCTGAAAGACACTTAAGGAAATGTTCAACATCCTTAGTCATCAGAGAAATGCAAATCAAAACAACTCTGAGATTCCATCTTATACCTGTAAGAATGGCCAAAATCAAAAATACAGATGACAACTTATGCTGGAGGGTTGTGGGGAAAAGGGAACACTCCTGCATTGCTGGTGGGAATGCAAGTTGGTACAACCCCTTTGGATGTCAGTGTAGTGATTTCTCAGAAAATTAGGAAACAACCTTCCTCAAGACCCAGTAATACCACTTTTGGGTATATATCCAAAGGATGCTTAATTGTGCCACAAGGACATTTGCTCAACTATGTTCATAGTGGCTTTGTTTGTCATAGCCAGAACCTGGAAACAACCTAAATGCCCCTCTACCCAAGAATGGATAAGGAAAATGTGGTACATTGTGGTACATTTATACAATGGAGTACAACACAGCAAAAAAAAAAAAAAAAAAAAGACAGCTTGAATTTTGCAGGAAAATGGATGGAGCTAGAAAACATTATCTTGAGTGAGGTAACCCAGACACAGAAAGACAATTATCACATGTACTCAGTCATAGGTGGTTTTTAAACATAAAGCAAAGAAAACCAGCCTACAAACCACAATCCCAGAGAATTTACACAACAATGAGGACACTAAGAGAGACTTACATAGATCTAATCTACATGGGAAGTAGAAAGTAGAAAAAGACAAGATCTCCTGAGTAAACTGGGAGCATGGGGATCTTGGGGGAGGGCTGAAGGGGGCAGGGGAGAGGCAGGCAGGGAGGGGTACAGAGAAAAATGTAGAGCTTAATAAAAATCAATTTAAAAAAGAACCTGTCTCAAACAATATATATATATATGTATGTGTATATATGTGTATGTATGTATATATATATACATATATAAAATTTACTATATATAATTTATTTCTCACCATGAGAAAGGAAACCTGCTCAATTTTAGTCTCTGTGATTTTCTGGCTTAAGGCCTGAAGAAGCAACTGTTAGTCACTGCTGGCACATTGCCTTCATGAAGCAAGTCCAGTTACTTTCTGAATCTAAAAGAACAGCTTTAACCAGGTGGTGGTGGCACATGCCTTTAGTCCCAGCACTTGAAGGCAGATGCAGGTGAATCTTAGTGAGTTCGAAGCCAGCCTGGTCTACAAAGCAAGTTTCAGGACAGCCAGGGCTACAGAGAAACCCTGTCTTGAAAACCCAAAAAGAAGAATGAAGTTCTTCGCTATGGAATACATGCACAATAAGTGATCTAGATAGGTCATCTGCATGAACTCTAAATAAACAACTTCAAACAACTCAAAACCCCCAAAACAAATAAAAATGTATACTTACAACTAAATCATCTGTTACTTTGATACACAAATTCCCATCAACGTGCCTGTATTTGAGAACCACGCGTACCTGCAATAAAATTACTTACTTAGAAAGAGCAAAATAGATGGCACTATGCATACACAATTTAATCAGTGGCGCAAAAGCTCTTTAGAGTAAATGCCCCCGAACACCCGAGAAAGCACTTCCACTGTAGCCTCTTCACTGACATGAGGTAAAGGGAAAAGCCAGCCATTAGTTCATTACATCTGTTCTACTTATGCTTAGATGTGTGCACATGGTACATATGTGCACATGTACGTAGAGCTATGTGCTCTATTCACTCTGTTTTTTAAAGACTTTTTATTTTATGTGTCTAGACACTTTCCCTGCATGTATGTCTGTGCACCATAATGAGTGCCTAGTACCAGCAGAGGCCAGAGGAAGGTGCTGGAGCCCCTGGAACTGTAATTACAGATAGTTGTGAGCTGCGATCTGAGTGCAGTGCTGAAAACCAAACCTTGGCCCTCTGCAAGAGCCACCTCCCCAGCCCTGTCCATTTTCATGCTTGAGAGGGTCTCTCAATGAACCTGGAGCTCACTGACTGGCTAGGCTTGTGGCCAGTGAATCTGCTGCCACCCTCCTACTCTCTAGCCACTCAGGGCCAGAGTCACAGATGCATACTATGCCCAGACTATGCAGGGGCTGAGTCCAAGATCGGGCTCCCATGCTCACATAGCCTTTTCCTCACAGAGCTATCTCTCCAGCCCTATTTAAAAAAGCAAAAAACAACCTTTTGTTTTTAAAGTTGGGTAATGTTTTTATAGTTTGAAGAAATGTTCTAAAATTCCCAATACACACATCAAGGAATGTCTGTGAGGTGGCCTGGCACTCTTGTTAGTAAAACAGATGAAAGGAAGAGGGTGGTAGGGAGCAGAAAGGGCTGAAGTCCAACTCCATCCCTCAGGAAACGGAGCCAAGGGCAGTCTGCTGCACCCTCCGCCTGTGCACCTCCCCCAAGAAGGCAAGTCAGACTCCTCAGCACCTGCCATCTTTACCACAAACATGAGGGAGGCTCTGTTACCTTGAGGGGATCCACTTGCAAGGTCGCCATGGCTTCCCAAAGCCAGGATCATTCACAACAGTGAGCACTGTGACAAGGGACACTCCCCATTGCTCGCAATTCTAGACCTCAGTAGCCATGTAATCTGGACATTACCACACCGTTATAACAGCAGCCCAAACTTCAGCTTCTGTGAGCGTTTCTTTCTCTCGGTGATGTACACAAACACAGCGACCAAGGCAGAGTGAGCATTCGCTATCAGTAACTCCCGTTTAGGTAACTTTAAAACCAAAACACTAAGGATCGTCAGTCCTTTCCTGCCCCAAGCCAATTCCAAAAGTCCACAAATTTAAAGTGGTTTCAGCGTGGCAACTGGTAGCTAGCCTGACTGCACAGTTCCCTGTTGGGGTCTTAAGTGTTACACCTCTAAGAGGTGAGAACAGAGGGGGTGAAAACAGAGGGGGAACTCACCCAGAATATAAAATAGCTACCTATGTTTATAGTACCTAACCTACTCACTGAATTATTAAATTCAGCATGATACATTTTTAATATTTAGCTTGTAGGAACAAAGAGAAACCAAAATTTAAAAGATAAACTAAGCAAAACAACAATGTGGAATTTTGACTGTTGACTAAAAACAATCATTGTCTTCACAGGGAGAGTTATGGGGCTAATGGTACCATAAGATAGGAATCCACTGTCAGCTGGGTCACAAAGACAAAAACTCAAGGTTCCACTTAAAGACTCTGAGTTCGGCAAACCAAAATAATCTGACACAAAACAGAATGAATTAAAGTTCTAGAAAGAAAGATACTGGTAAAAAATACTTAAGGGAGAAAAGTAGATTATACTGGGAAAGGGGCAAAAGCCACTTTTCTTAGAAAGTGGCTTTGAAAAATATATGTTTTGTTTTCCTACAAAGAAGGTTAGGAGCTAGAGAGATGGCTCAGTGGTTAAGAGCACTGGCTGCTCTTCCAGAGGTCCTCAGTTAAATTCCCAGCAACCACACGTGGCTGACACCCATCTGTAATGAGTTCCGGTGCCTTCTGGCCTGCAGGCACACATACAGGCAAAACACTCTATACATAATAAATAATTTTTTAAAAAGTTAGAGAAAGCTGCATTCTGAATAAAGATCCAATGCATTCTGTGGCGTCAGCAAGTCTAGAAATGAGTGGGTGAGAATTGGGAGTTTATTCAGTAATCAATGAAGAACAGTTTGGGGGAGGTTTTGGTTTTCGTTGTTTGGTTTTTTGTTTGTTTTTTGAGACAGGGTTTCTCTGTGTAGTTTTGGCTGTCCTGGAACTCACTCTGTAGACCAGGTTGGCTTCAAACTCCCAGAGGTCCGCCTGCCTCTGCCTCCCAAGTGCTGGAATTAAAGGAGTGTGCCACCACTGCCAGGCAAAGAACTGGTTTTAAGCAGAGGACACTTCAGTGTCTATATTTTCAGACAGCGGGGACAGGAACGTAAAGGACTAAAAGGAAGACAGACCCAACTAACGGTCTCTTTTTCAGTCCACCAGTAACAGCTCTTCCATTCAAGCCATGTGGATCAGTGTGACAAAGGGTGAGAAGATATGTATGGGCTCCATGGTAAATGTGCCGGGGAGAGAAGGCACAATCTTAGCAGACATTCCAGAGACCGGACAAGCTGTCTTCTTTAGCCCTACACGGATCAGATGGGCTGGGGTTCAGAGTCACAGTTTGGACTTAAGTTCAAGCTCTTAGAGCAAATCATCTTGGAACTTGAGAATGCGGTTCATGCTCTACACCCCTTCCCAGTCAGGGGAAAAAGTGAAAAACTAAAAGAAGGATATAAGGAAGCAGAAGTCCGTAGGCCACTAGACTAGAAGGTTCTTCCTCTCCTGTCTATTATAGACATGTTTTGATCGCCACAATTCTGTCACTTCTATTTTCATTTTCCCTACAGCTACCACCACATTCTTACAAATACAGTCCCTCTGTGTGCTTGCATATCCTTTACCATTCTTCTACTAAATTAAGAAATTTATCCTGTTGTTAGTATCAGGCCCTTCTGGACAAAATCTTGTTCACCTTCTAGCATGTTGCTCAACTGAAGAAATGGCAAACAAACGGCAAAGCAAGGGAAAGGGAAATGAGCCAGATCAAGGTACCAAATCCACCACCACCATCACAAACCATGAAATTTCAAAAATACCTAATTTAGTTCACCACTCATTATCACTTTGTAAATCGAACTAATGAACTATTATGTCAGTTTAATAGTAATAGAACAGTTAGTTCTAAATGTCGCCTTAGAAGGGAGCCTGAAAGAGGATTATCTAGATCAGGTTGGCCTGTCGGCATGTGAGAAAGGCCTGCCTTCACTGTTAAGTGAGGCAGGAAGACTCAAACAACTGTGGCCTTGGCCCTGAATGTCTGAGTGGAGACAGACAGCTAAGAACAAAGTGGAGCACAAGTCAGCAGACAGGATGGTTTCTCATTCGCTTTTCTCTGCTTTTGATTATGGTTGTAGTGGTTTCACTTTCTTGTCTTGACCTCCCTCAGTCATGGACTTTAACTTGGAATGATAAACCAAATAAACCCCTTCCTTCCCTATGCTGCTTTTTGGTGGAAATGAAACTAGAACAGACGGCACCATGAAAAGGCAGGAATGGTGGTGCATGCCTATTATCCCAGCATTCAGGCTGCTGCAGAGAGCCTTCAATTCAAGGACAATTTGGGATAAACATAGCAATACCTTGTCTCAAAAAAAAATAGGAAGGAAAGAAAGCTAGACTAGGACGATCCAGCGATCCAGCGTTCAAGATCATCCTCAGCCACAGTGAGTTAAAGAGGCCAAGCTGGGCTACGTGAGATGAGAATGTCTTAAAAATAAACAAGAATGGTTCAAAATGTCCTACTGTCTATTCGTGTCTTCTGTGGCTCCAATGCATTCTCTGCCTCCCTCTCCTGTCTTCTTTCCTTTTTTTTTTAATTTAACTTTATTTTATGTGCATTGGTATGAAGTATCACATCCCCTGGAACTGGAGTTATAGACAGTGTGAGCTGCCATGTGGGTGCTGGGAATTGAACCCAGGTATTCTGGAAGAACTGCCAGTGCTCTTAACCCACTGAGCCATCTCTCCAGCCCTCTTCTTTCCCTTCTAATGCATCTGTTCTTCCTCCTCCTCCTCTCCTTAAGAAAGGATCTCATGGTGTAGCCTAATTGACCTCAAATTCTCTCTTCTTTCTTCAGCTTCCTGAATGCTGGGATTACAGGTGAGCACCACCATTCCCTTCCTGGGTCAAAGACCACTTATAACAGCAAATTGCTGCAGCTGGACACAGGCTTGGTTCCCAGCACTCACATGTGGCTCACAACTATCCCTACCTCCAGTTCCAGGGAATTTAATGCCCTCTTCTGACCTTAGCAGGCACCATGCAAAAACAGGGTGTCCTATACACATAGGCAAAACACTGTGCACATAAAAATTAGTGACTTGATCTTTTTTATAGGATATTCCGGAAGGAAGGAAGGAAGGAAGGAAGGAAGGAAGGAAGACAGACAGACCTGTAGTAAATTCTGCCATCAGAAGTTGCCAACAGCCGGCACATGCCTTTAATCCCAGCACCCCAGCACTTGGGAGATAGAGGTAAGATGTCTGAGTTCGAGGCGAGCCTGGTCTACAGAGTGATTTCTAGGACAGCCAGAGTTACACAAAGAAGCCTTGCCTTGAGCAAACAAACAAAATACAAGTTGCCAGCACCAACGTATTTTTATAATTTTTACTTATTATTTGTGTGTGCGCAAGTGTGTATGGTGTGTAGTTAGACGACAAGTTTGGGGAGTCGGTTCTTTCTTTCCATCTTTATGAGTTCCGCAAGCTGAGCCTCTCCCCAGCCCCGATATACAGCTTTAAAGAACAGTTCGTGTTATATAAACATTAGGTAGTCTCACGCCTTTGAGAGAAGGGAAGGGGGCACCAAAATAAGAAACGGACAGGAAAGAGAAGGTGCAGGGGCGGAGCACCAGCCTTAGCGACACGTAAACCAACCAAAGCCATAGCGGAAGTTAGGAGTTCCTCGGGTGCAGGCCACTGCAGAGTCCACCGCTGTGGAAATGGCTCTGTCCCGTGGACACAGTCGCAGTCTCACTGGGTCCCGAGTCAGACGGGAGCAGATGGAAGGACACAGAAGAAGCAGTGAGAACGAGGACAAACGCTGCTTCCTGTCTGTGCTAAAGCCGCGCCACAGGCGCAGGAGACCCCCGCCTCGGCTAGCGACTCACCTTCATGGGGTCGGCGAGGTAGAGCTTCTCGGCCGCGCGGCTGAACTCCTCCCAGGTCTGAAACTGAGGCATCGCGGCTTCGGGCAGGGAGAGACGAGAACACTGAGGAAATAGCAGGGCAGGATGCCCGGCTGCCCACCTCCCTCCGCAACCGCCCACAGAGCTGCGCTCCGGCGCACGAAGATGGAGGCCCGCTAGCGCCCACGCCATTGGTCAGCCTCGGCCGCGCCTGCCCAATGGGCAGGAGGCATGCTGCGAGGGGCGGGGCCTTCGCTTGGAGACGTCGGGAGCGAGGAGAGGCCGGCGGCTGCCACAGCGCCGCCTGCAGGCCTGGAGGGGTGGTGCATGTGCCCCGTCTTCTTTCTCGACTGTGATTGATGCTAACTAAAGTCAGGCTCCCATTTCACAAAGAGCAGCTCTGTGACCCGGCACCCAAGTTACAGTGGTGATGACAAGGCCCAGCTGTCACGCTCACAGCCCAATCAAGGAGTTAGGGAGACAACAGGAGTGCAAAAAAAACTTTCTGTGGTAGATCTTTGTACTGGTTAAATGAAGCAAAAAAAGAGCCAGGCTCACAGCGGTAATAAAGACTGAGCAGGTTGAGCGGGGAAGGGCGAAACACCTCATGCACATTTTAGATCCGCAGCTTACTTAATGTGAACAGTGTCTAGGGAAAGAAAACACCTCATGGCATCTGCTGGTATAGGAATTTTGAGCCTGGGCTCAACAGTGAACGGCAGCACTGACTGCTCGTCCAGAGGACCTGAGTTCAATTCCCAGCAGCCACATGGCAGCTCACAACTGTCGGCAACTCCAGTTCCAGAGAACCCAACACCCTTTTTTGGCTTCCACGGGCACCAGGCACACAAGTGCTACGCAAACATATGTAAGCAAAACACCCATTCGCATAAATTAATTTAAAAAAAGAAAGAAAATTGACCCATTTCCTCCAGATTTGTGTGACACAGGATAGTTTTTAAAATAAATTTTATTGGGGTATATTTTATGTGCAGTAAACATTGGTTTTAACAATAGACATTCATGAATTTTGAAGGAAGACATACATACACATTACACACTCACTCCTTATATGCCTAATGTCATAATTTATGGGACATTTTTCACCTCCAGAAACCTTCATGCTTTCTTATATTCATTCCCTCTACCCTCACTCCTGGCCCCACGAATATACTTTCTTTTACTATAAGTGGCTTTTCCTTCTCTGTTGGATAGCTTGAAGCAGTTTTTTTGTTTTGTTTTGGGATTACAGTGTCTAGCACATGCTAGACAAGGTCCCTACCACTCAGTTATAACCCCAATTTTCTCTCTCCCCCATCTTGCCTTCCCTCTTGCCTATCTTTTTCTTTATTTTTTTCTTTCTATTCTTTATTTATTTATTTATTTATTATTGTTGTTCATTCATTCATTCATTTGTTTGTTTGTTTGTTTGTTTGGAACAGAATATCTCTCTGTGTTGCCCAGACTGGAAGGATCCTCTGCCTCGGCCTCGAGTAGCTGGTACTGTGCTGCTAAGACTAGACAGATCTCTATGTCATGAGTTTGAGGGAGGCCCGGGATACTTAGTGAACCCAAGGTCAAACTGAGCTACTTATCAAGACCCTGTCGATAATAATAGCAAATAAATAAGAATGGTGATGGTCCTAGCAAGAGACCATCACAGCATCCAAGCTAAACAGATAGTAATTGTATTTACATTCTGAGGGGGACGGCTTGGAACTTCAAGGAAATCTGAAGTCAATCTATTGGGGTGGGGACATTTGCTCAAATTTCAGGGTTTTACATTTCAGGTTCCCAGAAAGGCTGGATTGTTGGTTGTGTCATCTATACAAAGGCTAAAGTCACAGATGAATAGTAAGGGGATTAGATGCTGAAAAAGGCTCTAAGTTAGGGACCCACATCCTTAGAACAAGGGACATAAATGTTGGGCAGTGGAAGCCATAAAAGAAAAAGAAGAAGAAGAAGAAGAAGAAGAAGAAGAAGAAGAAGAAGAAGAAGAAGAAGAAGA